ATGTGGAAAATAATGTGTTTTTTTAACCTTAAACCGCATAAACACATTTCATTACACCAAATACACAAAATAATGTTCTTTTTAGCAACACCATATGACCCCTTTAAATGCACTAGATGTTACAGATGGGTAAACTGATCATATTGAATCTGGAAATTAACATTAAAGCTATATATTGTCATTATCACAAATATTTCCATTTAAATTGATTTTAAATATGTGTTGGTCTAAGCACTGATATATATGGTCTATATATGATATAGTATATATGTTTGGTGAATAAAGCAGTGATTCTACCTGCTCACGTAGAAATTTCGAAATCCCCTCGTACACAGTGCCAAAGCCTCCTTCTCCAATCTCTTCTCCAACTTCATAAATTTCATCAAATGGAACTGCAAAAATATAAGTTACCAAAGGAACATGTTAATATATGAGATTCACAGTCTTACATGAAGCCCAATAGCAGTGCTTGAATAAATATACACATCCAGTGCACATCAGCTCTACGGAGACTAAATATGGTCAATGTCTGAGACAAACGCTGCATCTGAAATTGAATACAAAGTTGGTTTAATTTAAAATGTAACACCTACTCAGACAGTATGAGATTTCAGACGCACTGTAAGTGAAAGTAAAACAGCAGGATTCTTTCAATTTCTTTACAACTATATTTCTTTAAATACACAATCAGGAAAATGCTACTTGGTCAGGAGTACTAGATTTATCATTTGCGTTTGAATTATCTTATGTGGAATTAGACAAGTATAAACACACAGACTTACTAGGGTAACTAGACACAGGTTTAAAACAATCAGTGGAGGAACAAGAAAAGGCTAACAAGTGGAAAAAGACTCACCAGGAGTTGGATCGGTGAAACAGGCTGCTCTGAAACGGGTTTGATCTCTGATTCGTCTGTGCTTGGAAGCACCTGGAACGGACGACTCAAGGATGGACTGATCTGGCTGAGGATCAACTGGATCCTGCAGAGCCATCGACTCAAGGATGGACTGATCTGGCTGAGGATCAACTGGATCCTGCAGAGCCATCGACTCAAGGACGGACTGATCCGGCTGAGGATCAACTGGATCCTGCAGAGCCATTGACTCAAGGACGGACTGATCAGGCTGAGGATCAGCTGAATATGTGTCGGGCTGTGGATAAAGAGGAGCCACTTTGTGCTTTTTGCTTTGTTTTGTTGCACGTTTTACAGCCCACCACGTTCTTTTGAAGAATGCACAGATGTGTTTCTTCTTCACATTTGTTTGATTTTCTAAAAAATAAATAAATAATAATAATAATAATAAAATAAAAAAAACAGAAATAGAACAGTTAGAAATTTCCACCACATTTTAAAAGTCAAATTTTGAAGCTAGACCACAATAATAATTGGATAATATATGGATTATTTTACAACTCTGAAACTAACAAACATGCTGTAAATATTAGATAAATAAACATACTTAATAATGTCACTAGACACGTGTGAAAAACAGGACAGAATTAAAATGACAGTAGACCCACTCTTCAGCTGGCTCAGGATCAGCTGGATTTGGATCCCAGTTCGTCAGCGTGACGCTGGATGGACCTGGCAGAAGATCAGTTTGATCCTGTAGAGTTGTTGGCTCAAGGCCGGATGGGTCTGGCTGTGGATCAACTAGATGCCAAAGTGCCGTTGATTCGAGGCCGGATGGACCACACTGGGAATCAGCTGAATCTGTGTCGGACACAGGCTGAAGAGGGACCACTTTGTTGCCTTTACGTCGACACTGGTTAGTGCTTTTTACAGCCAGCCATGTGTTTCTGAAGAATGCACAAAGGCTGTTCTTCTTGCGTTTTACAGGTTTTTCTAAAGAACAAAAAAAAAGAAAGACTTCTGGTTACTACCTTGACTCTTTAAATTTAACAAAATATACAATTACATTGAGCATGGAAATATATTTTATATATTTTTATATATATATTGTTTGTGTGTGAAACCTTTCATAAATTGAAGTTTGTTATTGACCTGTGGGGCTGTTCTCCATAGCCGCTGCTGCAGGAGAAGCCTCTGGGTTTACTCCTGAAGGGTCGGTGGTGTTTCCTCCAGCTGTCAGAGTATCATCTGCTGACACTGAACACTCAGTGTTGAGCTCCACTGACTCCAGCACAGGAGAAACACTAGAGCTCACAATGAAGCGCTGGAAAGCGCAAATCTCGAGTGTTTGCTAACGTGATAATTAATCTTTGCTTCTGCTCGGATTTTCACTGAACTGACTGCAAACCGACGCTAAACTCCGCTGTGGAATGTTGCCATTGTGACGTCACGCGCAGCGCATGCAGTTTTATTTGAAATCGCATTATTTGGAAGTTGGTTGTCTTTACACATATTGTTGTGTAACATAATTATATATTAATGTGCATCCTGTTTTTGTTTTGCAGTTTTATGACAAGTGTTTTAAGACAATTTAAAACTAACAATTGGATGTTTATTTAGCTTAAAACACAACAGATCTCAATTGGTGGTAAGAACACTTAATTATGTTGGTGGAGCAAGGTGAGTAAATTAAACGATGGTTTCATTCCTCCCAAAATTGCGTTTAGAAATTTCATATAATAACAAAATGAATCAATTAGTTAAATCTTACAATAAATCCCATAGAGAAAGGTATATTCACATATATGTGAAACACTGTTAAATATATTGAAATATATTTTGAAAATATATTTTAAAAATGCATAGAGCATAAGCTCATGTTGCGTGTTTAATTAGGTGTTTATGATAAATTATATTGATCTGGCCAATCAGAGCGGACTGCGCTTGTCAAAGGAGGGGGCTTTGTAGAAAACGAAGCGTTTGAGAGAGGTGGGGCATAGAGGACCTACAATAATGTACAGTATTTGAAAAACAATGTGTTTTTTTAACATTAAAGCATGTCAACATATTCTGTTACACCAAATACACAAAATAATGATCTTTAAAAAAGCATCATATGACCCCTTTAATGAAAGTTTGGGCTTTTAATCACATTTTATGTGTAGATGAGCGGTTTTGATAGCTTTGTAAATGTTTTCCTGGTATTTTGTCAATAGATAAATGGAAGTAAACTAATTAATTTAACCTAAAAGTCTGCACTGTTGAGTCAATCATTGACGTCACTTACATTCAGGCTAAAATGGGCTGAAACTATTTCAAACCACTGTGTATCAAAGACGTCTTGATTTTTCATTGTAAACAAATACTGATAAAAATTGTACTGTGATTTCAGGAACGTCAGAAAAAAAATCCTCTAAAACAGAGGGGAAGTTCCAAGAAAAATTCTAATGGGAGCTGCTGACAGAGATATAGGAAACACAGGTAATCTGAGAAAGCTTATTAAATAACTTCATATGCATTTTTCACAATATGTCATCATACATCTGTAAAATCTAAAAATGTGAATTCTGGTATCTTACAGGTTTAGTTCACCCAAAAATGAAAATTAGGCTGTGTTTTTTACATCCTAGGTGTATGACTTTCTTCTTTCAGACGAATCCAGTCGGAGTTATATTAAAAATAGTCCTGGCTATTCCAAGCTCTATCATTGCAGTCAGCGGGTGTTGCAGTTGAACAGTCCACAAGTCGTCAAATAAAGCATGTGCCATCCATAATAAAAACGTGCCTCACACGGCTCCAGGGGGTGAATAAAGGCCTCCTGTAGCGAATCCATGCGTTTTTGTAAGAAAAATATCCATATTTCAAAAGTAATAGGCCTAAAACTTTTCTCTCACTTCCGGTATCTGTCATACACTGAAGCAGTTCCGGCGGATGACGCAGCACGTATACGCACCGCGCGCGCCTCTGAGATATGCCAGTCTCGCGAGTTTGTTTATAGGAGCAAAGGAAGCAAAGCTTTCTTACTTAAGCAAAGGAAAACCAGTCTCCTCTTGGTTTATATCGAAATCCTCCGACATTTTTCTTTGCAAATCCTCGGTTTGTACTTCTAATTCATGACCGGCATTTTGTTTTGTTCTCTCTCCGCATTCGTCACTAATCACGCAACGCTGACGTCATACGTCATCCGCCGGAACTGCTTCAGTGCATGACAGATAGCGGAAGTGAGAGAACAGTGTTTATTACGTTTGAAATATGGATATTTTTCTTACAAAAACACATGGATTCGCTACAGGAGGCCTTTATTCACCCCCCGGAGCCGTGTGAGGCACATTTTATTATGAATGCGCGAGCTTTATTTGA